AAAAAAGAGGTCGTTCTTCTCCTTTTATTTATTTTATTTTTTTGGCAACATAACAAATGAGAATCCCAGGTGGCTTTAACTAATTACCCCTGTACTTTGGAAGCCTAATTCTGCCTATTGTGAAAACATTAGTCTTCGGCCACAAAGTAACTTCATATGCTAATCAGAAGCAGACTGTTCTCTAGCTAATACCTCAAGGCTGCTCAGGAAGACTGTTCTTACAGAGGGAAAAAAAAGAGGGGAAGGGTAACAAAATACAAGCTGTGCAAGGAAAGAGAAAAAAACACACACATATACACAACACCATGCTTAAATCCCTGGTATCTGAAATTAATCTGATGTGCTCATTTACATCACATGAATAAGATACAGCACAATAGGAAGAATGAACTGGCTTTTTTTTCCCCCCTTTTAATTAGAAAGCATTCAAAATTAATCTACTTAAAACATTATCAGGCTTCTGATTTCGAATAAGGTTTATATGATACAGCAGAACAGAAATGTCCTGAATTAGAAGCCAGAAGTTATTCAGAGTGTTATATGCAGAATCTATTTCCCATTTGTCTAGTTCATTGCATAAAATTCTTACCAAAGAAATACCTCTCTCTCTCTCTCTTTTCACATCAATCTCTCATCACTCTTTTCAATTAAAATGCTCTTGGCCAAAGCTTATTTTTTTATAAGGAAATTGTACCAGACTCCTGGTATTTGTATTGCTAGTTTCCCATTTCCACAAATCTGATCTGAAGGTTTGTCAGAACAGCACATATTCCAAGAGATCACACCACAAATCTTCCTGAATATATAACAAAGTTGTTTGAATGTTCGTAATAATTTCTCGAGGGAAGAGGGACCTTTTTCACAGCCACTGTACACTGGAACAGTATGTTCCTGTCTGCCGTGATCCCGAAATCCCTCTGCTGATTAGGAAGTTAAATCAGCCCCTTGATTATGTGTGAAAGTAACGTTTTTGCCCCAATGTGCATCACTTTAAACTTACTTACATTGAACTGCATTTGCCATTTTGCTGCCCATTCACCCAGTTTGGGGAGATTCTTGTGAAGCTCTTCAAAATCCGATTTAAGTTTTCACTATCCTGAAAAAGTTGGGGTTATCAACAAACTTTGCCAACTTTCTATTCACTCCTAATGTCAGACCATTTAAGTATAAGCTGACCGTCTAGAAAACCCCATGTCCTGCTTAATTCTGCTTTGACATCTATGCATTCCTGTTCTGCCTCCTGAGCCTTACTCACAGGGTAAATAGCCTAGGTACAAGTGCTACCTTTACTTAAGACGGGATTAGAAATTTGGCTGAAATATTTCCGTACAGGTAATCCTCAATTTACAACCACAACTGAACCCAAAATTTCTATGGCTTAGTGAGACAGTTGCTAAGTGAGTTTTGCTCCAGTTTATGACCTTCCTTCCCACATCTGTAAGGGAATCATGGAAGCTCTTAAATGAGTAACACCAGGGGTGAAATGCTTCCGGTTCAGACTGGATCGCCCAATCTGGTGGAGGCGGGTGATTTGGAGAACCGGTAGCAAAAATCCCTGCATCCCCCCCCAAAGCCCAGCTGAGCCGCGCGATCATCAGAGGCTTTTTTTTTTACTTTTAAAAGCATTTTTTCTACAACCTCTTCAGCTGAAAAAATGCTTTTAAAAGTAAAAAAAAAAAGCCTCTGATGATCGTGCAGCTCAACTGGGATCTTCAAAGGCTTCTAAAAGAAAAAAAACCCTTTTTTTTCTTTTAAATGCCTCTGATGATCTAAGCTGAGTTGCCTGATCATCAGAGGCATATAAAAGAAAAAAAGCCTCTGCCGATCAGGCAACTCAGCTGGGATCATCAGAGCCTTTTGAAAACATTTTTTTACAACTTCTTCGCTGAAGAGGTTGTAGAAAAAATGATTTTAAAAGTTAAAAAAAAATGGCCACACCCACCCAGCCACATTACCCCCCCCAAGCCACGCCCACAGAACCGGTAGTAACAAATTTTAGATTTCACCACTAACACGGTTGTTAAGTGAATCCGGCTTCCGTGTTGACTTTGCTTGTCAGAAGCTCGCAAAAGGGGATTGAGTGACCCTAGGACACAGCAGCTGTCATAAATATGAATCAGTTGCCAAGTGCCCAAATTTTGATCATGTGGCCATGGGGATACTGCAACAACCATAAGTCACTTTTCAGTGCCCTTGTAACTTTGAATGGTCACTATATGAACTGCTATAAGTAGAGGACTACCTGTATGTCTAACCATGTAATCATTTTTCAAAAAAAAATATAGGTATATACAATCTACTTGATCTTTCATGCCTACGGACCCCAGACAAACAAACTACTTCTAGAGACTCTCAAACAACTCTAAAGGATTAATGATAAAGGCTTACATTTATTATTATTAAATATCTGTATTGCTGGAAAATATTCAACCAATTTTAAAGGAAACCCAGTTACCATATTTTTCGGAGTATAAGAGGCACCAACCTTTTTTGGGGAGGAAAAGAAGAAAAAGAAAACTGCCTCTGCCTCCCAGCAATTTTGCTTCCTTGCAGCAAACAGCCTGCTTTACTTTCATTTTCATTTTCAGCATAGCTTGATTAGCACAAGGAAAAAAAAAATCTGCTCCAGCAATTTATCTCCTTGCAACAAGCAGCAGAGCCCTGCACAAAACAGCTGAGAGCAAAACAGCTGAGAGTCAGGAAGCCAATCCAATCAACTTGTACTAATTAGGCTGTGCTGAAGCTGAAATGGGCTGTTTCTTCTTGCTGATTGCTGCAAGGAGGTAAATTCCTGGGAGGCAGAGGCCAAAGGGTGGGAGCCAGTGGGTGGGTGGGGCTACATTCAGTGTATAAGACGCACCTAAATTTTTACCCCCTTTTAGGGGGGAAAAGGTGCATTTTATACTTTGAAAAATATGGTAGTTCTAAGGATGTTGATGGAGCTAGATTGCTGATGTGTATTCCTGAATGAATTCGGTAACACAGATACCTATGGGAAAAAATAAGCAGTTTTTAGGGGTAGATAAGCCACCTGAAATGGGGTATCCTGGACAGTTTAATTGCTCACAGAGGACAGTGAAAATATAAGCAATTCACCTGAGTATGGTTGCTTGATTCCTAATATATAAAAATTCCTGCAAACCATATTCACTGATAAAACCCCAAGGTTTCATTCAAATAAAATGTATGACATAAAGATAATACAAATGATTAAATATTTTACATGCAGAAAAATGAAGAATTGTTATTTCTCTTATCCTTTTCATTCTGGATTCCTCACCTCAGCACACCTTCCTGAGTGTAGGGATTTCTATTTTAAGGAAAGCTAGAAACCTTTCAACGAAAGTCAAAACAGCCAGCAGAACAAGCAAGCAAAGTGGTTCCATTGTTCAGTGATCCTACTCAGACTTTCAATTCATCAAAATGCAATCTTGTCCAGTGCTATTGACTTGACACATAGCTGGACTTTCTTTACAATAGTGGAACATTCTGTGGAAAACTCTGTCCTAAGTTTCCTAGTGGCATGTGAAATGAATTATTTACACCAAGTTTTCATCATTTTCAGCATACAGACATGGCTTCATAAGCCACTTTCCCAAGACCTTGAGTTTAACATTTGTCTTCAAAACCGAGGTCTACCCAACTCCAAGGCTGTAGTGCTTTTACGGTATTTGGATTCCAAAAGTTGCAAAAACGTGAGAAAAAAATGGAATGTATACCTTACTTACTGTAGTTTGAAAGCGTATAACGCCAACAACAGTTACACCCAAGAAGAGTTAAGACCCACCCTGCCCACAAGGGATTTATGCAGAAAAATAGGAACAGCAACGCAAGAAAGAAATTGGATGAAATATAAGGGAGGGAAGGGAAGGGAAGGGAAGGGGAGGGGAGGGGAGGGGAGGGGAGGGGAGGGGAGGGGGGAAGGAAGGAAGGAAGGAAGGAAGGAAGGAAGGAAGGAAGGAAGGAAGGAAGGAAGGAAGGAAGGACTTTGCCCTTTTTTCAGTTTTTTCTTTGGGAAAGAATACATTGATAAAGTAACAACAAAGCATCTGAGCAACAAAAACATGTCAGACCAAATAAAAGATGAAAGAACAAAAGATAAATCATTTGGAAAGAGTAGAAGAGGATCATAAAATAGGAGAGAGAAAAGAAGACAAATAGGTAAGTATCACCAAAGGGATAAGTAAAAAAGACAAAATTGGGTCCCTTCAAAGTATTAACAATATCCAAGCCCCCAACTTTGAAGACTTCATAAGGAGATTGACTATATCAATATTTTGATATAGGGAAGTCAAAGTGCAATACATGGGAAATCAAAACATAAAAGACTAATAAAGCATGAATATTAATTCTTGCTTAATGACCCTAATTGGGACTAGCGGTTCTGCCACTAAGTTGCAAATACCATGGTGAGGACTAGGGTTTCTGGCAGGAAAGAGATAGGACTACTCAGTTTCATACCTTGGGCCTGTGTTTGCCTCCTAACTGTTCCCCCTTGCTTTAGAAAGCTGTTGTGTCTGGGCCTGTTTACTCTCTTGTATACATCAAAAGCGATGCAATGCAATGCGCCACAAGAGAGAGAACCTCTTGCTTCCCCGCCCCTCTGTAGAGTGGAGAGATTGGAGAGAAAGCGGTTTCAAGAGAGTACTGCAAGCTTGTATAGTATACCCGTGGCTCTCAACCCTGGGCCGCCAGTATGATCACATTGCTTTTGATGAACAGAAGAGCAAACAGCTTACTCTCTTGTAATCCCTTTCTTTCAACTCTTTCTTGCTCTGCAAAGGGCAAAAGAAAGGAAGAAACACATCAGACACAGACCAAGGCGCATTGTATTGTAATGGCAATCGCGTGACTTGAGGGACGCTGCAAAGGTCATACGTGGTCTGTAAAGTTAATTTTTTAGCAGCACGGTCACTGAACGAATAGTTGGTAAGCGAGGACTACCTGTAATTCTGCAGATGATTGTAGAATTTAGTGAGGAATGCAATTCTCTCCCTTACCTATGGTACAGTTTGTGGTTATTTTTCGTCGCTTGGGGTTATGTCGAAGCAGCTCTAACTCTCGTTTGGTTGGCTCCCAAGTTGAATACTTCTCTCCAATACCTGGATAATGAAAAGAAATATAGGACTGTATTTCAGAAGACTGCTTGTAGCTATAAGGGTACTTTGGAATGCAAACTGCACCATTCATTAAATAGTTTTCCTTATATATTTCCTCTACAGTTCTGAGCTTCTAAATATGTTCTCACAAATGTGTGTTAAAAACATACAAGACTTATTGCTTGTGGCAATTTAACCATGTTTAAAGCAACAGTTTCCTCTCCTTTTCTTATTCCTAGCAGTGGATCAAAATACTTTTAAATTAAAAACACAGTAGCAGGTTGCCCTTCATATAGGTTGTTCATTTGAGTTAAGACAGCTATGCTGTCAGCGAAACCACCCCTGAAGCATGACCTTTGTGTAGAGATGTTTTAAAAATAAGATGACAACAGCAAAAATAAATAATCCAATTCATTAGGCAGCTATGTGCTATTGTGAAAAGCTGATGTATAGAACCAATACAAGGTGGGTGATATTTCAAACCGTTTCCTTAGTATGTAAAAACTAATATCCCCCTCAGTCTGTCTCTGCAATCTGGACCATAAATTATGTAGGCTGAGAGCCGAGAAACTTTGCAATTAATTCTGTAAGGCTGCTGAAGCTTATCTGCCTGAAAGAATAGCTCCTGAGTCTGGCAAGTCTCTTCTTAAGAGTGAACAGCTTCAAAGGAGAATATGAAAGGAAAGGTAGCTATTCTACTGGGCAATTACTGTACGTAGCCACTGAGTATAAGCAGCTCTTTGGATCCTGGTTGTAAGTTTTAGTTAACAACATATTGCTGAAAAACAGATGATCGTTATCTGTCTATGAGAATATGTGTGTATATCTACATGTATGCAGGTATGTGTGTGGCATGCACACTCTGGATATGAATTTGCTTCGAAGAGATACCAATTTGAAGAAAGGGGAGCAATGGGTCATCTTGGTGGCTTTCTGAGTCTAATTATTATAATGAGAGATGTTAGTAAAACAGATTAATAAAATGATACCTGTTGGGCATTTAAATTTTCAATTTGATACACCAACAATGCAATTGTATATATGACTATGCAAATTAGAGATACATTATCTTATAAATAAATGATAAAATATTCTACAATCTCATCCACACCCCAAAAAAGAGGAGGGATTACTCTTTGCCTCAAATAACAAGAATTTCCTGTGCTTTTCTATTACTACTAAGATAATATTCTAACCACCAAAAGGAAAATATACTTTACAGGAAATAAAGCTAAAGTAGATTTCCATGAAACACTGGATGGAATAACTATAAACAAATACAATATGAAGTCTTCATTTGCAAAGATGAATGAGGCACTGTTACCACGACAGATAAAAAGTCTCAGCTAGGGACTTCAGCAAAGCTTTTCAAAAATTGAACTTTCACAAGAAACCCATCAGCTCTTTCAAAGGACCAGTACGTTAACTTTTTGAAATCTTATAGAACTAGAATGCAGAAAAAACTGGCACGAAGGGAAGGACTTAGCACAAATCAACCAGAGGGGTGGATTAAAGGAGATCTCGAGAATTATATCCACTCTGCACAGTAAGCGTGTATTAGACATGGCATATCAAGATGAATTTGCATACATATTTGTTTGGATTAGTGCTAATGGCAGAAACAAGATTCTGTAAGTAAGGAGCAAACAATAAAGACACATCGTTAAATACATGGACAAATATTTACAGGACAAAGACTTACATAATTATCAACTATTTATTTTAATGAGGAAGAAAAAGGTCTCATTTAACTTTTTAGATATATGTCACCTCTAACAGTTAAAACAGCCCTCCCAGCCATCAAAAGGGCTGCAAGTTGAAAAGGCTTCCTGTAAAATGCCTTGTTTTACTAGAGAAACAAATACAGCAAATTGAGGGTTCACTCTCAAGTATTGGAGGTATCACTGCCAATTTTCAACAAAAGAGCTGTTTTGCTTCTGAAATAATAAGCACAACTTGGCATTGATAAGGGGTTACTTGACTGTCATGTAGAGGAAGTTTAACGATACTTTGCCAAGTATTTTGTGACATTATTTTCTTGTTCCAAGAAAATATGTTAGAATTATCCACTATCCCTCCCTCTCTTCCTTTGATTGAGCTACTTTAAAAATAAGATTTAAAATGCCAGTTGAGAATGATGAACAATGCAATGGTAACGTGCATGTCTATTTTTAACAGCCACCTAAAAATGGTGCAATTCCTTCTAGATAGACAGGATATATATCTTTTTTAAATCTTTAATTGCTGTGAAGGGGGAATATTTTGGAGCAGCAACTCAGCTACAGGAAGGTCCAGCAGAATGTATTATTTCCTGGATCACGAAATACATTTTTTACAATAGGAAAACACTGCAAATTCTGTCTCTTGCTGAAAAATGGCGGGTGATCAGTAAAGGGACGCTTGCTAGTGAAACATGTCGCCAGCTCACACTTCTTACCTGTCATTGTACACTGGTAGTGAGAAATCATTGTTGGGGTGAAGGCTAAAAAAGAAAAGAATTAGGGAAAGAAAACTGAATAATAAAACAAATGTGTGTACATATATTTGTGTGTTAATATCTACATATATACATACTGTATGTGCAAACAAAGTGACATTTTTGTTAAGCTGGCACAGTAACTGCCTAGGGAAAGCGTGGCATTTTGTATGAAGAATATAAATTTTTGTCTACTATGTTCCAAAAAGATCTGAATACTCTGCTTTATCGTTAACTCTGTACAATCACAAGGGAAAAAAGTATTTTACTGAAATATTCTTCCTAAATTTAGTTTGGCTATGCTTTCGTGATGTGTTCAGTTTAACTACTGAAGAGAAATAATCTCTACATCTCTCTCTCCCCCAAAACTTCTGTTTTAAGTTTTCTTATTTTTCTTTTACAAGAATAAAAGGGCTAGGTACAACTTGAAATGAAAACTTCTTTCAAGCAGATACTTAAAGAAAACCAAACCTTGTAGTTTCCAAGCTTTCCGCTGTTCTTCTTTGGCAATTTGTTCCATATCTTTGTCATATATGTAATCTTGACACATAAAGCAGTATATACCCCCATACAAAAGGTCTATGGCTGCGGAAGAAGGGATGGAGAAAAAGAAACATTTTTTTAAAAAATTAAGAAAATAAAGAATTGTCTATAATTAATCTCTCCTTATTAGCAACTTGGACTACTATCACATGACAAATGTTGACTTTTATATGTCTATTGCCAAGCCTCAGTCAAGCAGCAACATTTAAAAATCTTCCTGATTAAATTATCACAGATTCCAAGGTATGAATCTCCGACACAATCAATGATATGAAAATATTTCTCAGCAGCCGAGGCACAGCTTCACATTCCCTGTGAAAATCGATTCTATGTCACTGTTCTATGTTCATCAGCCTGCAGAGAGTAAGAGTAAGCAAAGAAACTTCTATATAGAATTATTTTGTGCTTGGACATACCTTTTCTGCAAGCCTCAAAAAATTCCATCGTGTTAAGGAGAGATATAAATTGTGGATTGTACTGTTTCTAAGCAATATGAGAGAGCTAAATCTCAAATTTCTAAAAGCGAATTTTAAATCAAGAATTATCTGATAGCCCTGAATGGTACACATGCTAGATCTACAAAGCCATACAATTTTAGGTATAGATCAAGGCTAGTTATAAGCTTCAAAACATGTTGCCTATGTATTCTTATAATCAATGGACCTCCAATTTGACAATGAGCTATGTATCTTTTAATACAAAGAAAACTGAAATCTATTTTCACTAGGAAAAGCCTTCTAAAGGTTACTAAATTTTAAAATAAGATTAAAAAACCTCTTTAAAATGAGGATATATCTATTTTCCTTGTTTAACTATTGAGTTACATGTGATTAGAAGATTAGATTAATTAAGACATACAACTCTGATCTTGTAACATTTCCATATTCTAATTTAACGAAGTCTGATGGCTCTACTAAATCATATCAAACTAAGAACAAAGATTTCAAAACTCTTAGGTTAAATTTCTGCTTAATACTGTTCTATCACAATTTACAAATAAATGTTTTATTCCATTGCTGAAATTGAAATAATTAGCTCCACTAGATTAAACTGGAAATCCAAATATTAGATAAGGGGATATTTATAAAAGTAGTTCCCATCATTAATTGGCAGATTTACTAATGGATCTGGAAGAGGGTCAGGGACACCCATGTCCCATAGCATCTTAAAATGGATTTGTGAAGACTTGTTATTTGAAAAGGCAGTTCACCCAATAACTGGGCTTCAATACTAGGTTTAGCTTTAAAGCAGACTGATTTTTTTTAAAAAAAATACAATTTTTGTGTGTACCAAGTTGGAATTGCTTTTGCTTACAAAATAACTTATGCACACTAGAGTTAACAGGTAAAGCTATTTAATAACATAAAAGATGAATGAGAAGGTTTGTTTATCTTAATTTCATACACATACATTCCTTTCTCTTCATATAACGAGAAGTTGGGAATAATTTTTAAAATGAAAAACATCAGTTTTAACTATAGCATAGAATGCAATTCTTGCTTATATAACCCATCCACGTTAACTGTTGCTATAGCAATATAATGGGTGGATGAATGTCAAGAGCCTTACAATATGATTATCTGAATGTTATACCCTAAAATAAAGCTTCAGTGTTGTTAAAAATGGACAATTTCTTATAGATCTTAAAGTATGTTCTACTCTGCAATTTGGCTACAAATCAAAGTAATTTTGCAATAATATTTAAAAGTAAATAAACAAAAAACAGCAGTGTCAGTTATCCCAAAACTCTCTTGTATAAAAATGGTGTAACTGACATTTGAAAATCGAGTGCAAAAAAAAAAAAAATCTTCATGAAGATTTTGATAAAAATATGAAAATGGCAGAATAACAGGTTCTTATTACACATCCACCATCAAATCACATAATTCCTGTTCACTGACAAGTTTTCCTTTTTGTATTTATGTACTTTTATGTCTTTATATTTGTATAAAGGCCTTATACAAATCATCTAGGATAATCAACCTAATTTGCATCAAAAGGAATGTTTTAGCAGTGATTAAACTATTTTATTAATTCACATCCTGGAAGCAATCATTGAGATGGCTTCTTATGGTAGACTACACATAACAGATCCATCACTGAGGAGTCTGCTTATGCTCTTTCCATTCCAATTTGGGCTCACTTATCCAGCCTTCTATTTGCCAGGAATGAGAATACCCAAAACTCAGTTCCTTAACCAGAAAGATTTACAGTTTACACTCTAAAATCATCTGGATGCTGGAATGCAGATTCTAAAAAGTCTATTTTGAGACAGATTTTGCAAGACTGAGTTATCTACGTATATATATTATACGTATATATACGTAGCTAATATATTAAACAAATTGAGGGGTTTTTAACAGAGAAAATAATGGTGGATTCCTGCACTAGTATGCCTACAGGTGGCACGCACTTAACAACAATTCGTTCAGTGATTATTCAAAGTTATGACGGCGCTGAATAAACAGTTAAGAAATTGTAGCTATTTCACAACTGTCCCCCTTGGGTAGAGACTGGAATCTTAATTTCCCACATCCAAATTTAGCATCCTTGTCTTTGCACCTGTTCAAAACAGGTAAAGAGATTTTGACTTGGGTTCATTTGCTACCAGATGGTTACGAGATTGTAAGAGAAGCTAATGTCTGAAATATGGGTAAAGTTCCTTCAGGGTTCAAGATTCTTACTATTGGCAAGTTTATGGCCTGCTGAAATATATGGAAACTACCTGGCCTGCTTTTCCAAAAGAGCAATAAAGGTGTGATAACAGTTTAGGAGCTCAATTTTCTTCTCCTTTTTGGCTAGGTAAACCGCTGAAGAAGACAAACTTGTTTTTGACATTGCCTTGAGAATTGCACCATAAATAATATCTTCCTTAATTCAAGGGATAATGGAGCAAGGGCTACCACAGCCAGAAAAACTGAGCTTTTAACCAAAGTTCATCTCCAGCTACCACAGAGATCAGGAGATGTAGAGTATTTACTGCAAGGTTCAATACCAGCCAAACTAACCATGTGGAAAAAGAAAGAACACAATTCTGAATATAAAAATGTGAGCCCAATGCTTATGATCTATGAAAGAAGGTTGTCAGTGACAAGCCCTTTAAAACAAGGTGGCAAATCCCTCAAATGTTCATTCCTTCCTTCTTGGACCTCTGGGTGCAAAACGTGCAAATACTTCATTTTGCAAATATACATATAACTGCTTTTGCTAATGATGTGCATTTGGGTCTCTGGAGTTTGAATTTCTCTTTGTCTCCATGGAGACTGCTGTTAGCTAAGCAGAGTCACTAAGAACTTCAAAGAAGAAATTTCGTTCATTCTGGTATGTGCCCAGTTGAGAATGAACTGGAAGCAGAGCTGAGCAATAGTGATTTTGTATTTGGGGCCTGACGTCCTGCAACCACTGCTGTCAGAGTGTACGGGTAGTCCTCAACTTACGACCATGACAGAGCCCAAAATTTCTATGGCTAAGTGAGACATTTATTAAATGAATTCTGTCTCATTTTACAACCTAACTTGCCACCATGGTGATTAAGTGAATCGCTGCAGTTGTTAAATTAGTAACATTGTTGTTAAGTGAATCTGGCTTCCTCATTGACTTTGCTTGTCAGAAGGGGATCACATGACCCTGGGATACTGCAACAGTCATAAATATAAAATCAGTTGCCAATTGTCTGAATTTTCATCACGTGACCACAGAGAAGCTGCAAAGGTCATGTGAAAAATGGGTCATAAGCCACTTTTTACAGTGCGATTGTAATTTTGGACAGTCACTAAGCGGACTGTTGTAAGTCAAGGACTACCTGTAACTGACTGGAGCCAAAGGGCAGCGGTGGTGGTAACAGCAACAGCCACATCACAGTAAGTAGATATGGTGGCTTCCACTGCAAACATTACTGGGTTTACTCTTCAATACAGAATGCAAGTATTTGAACCTAAGGATGAACAATTCAGGCTTCTTGGCTTCTAAGAGTTTCCAGATTGGTATCAAAAATAAAAGGAATTATATAAAATTGTTTAAACAGTAGGGCATTTACATAGACATGGATAAGAAGATGACATACTGTTGGCTGAATCCTATCAGGCTGAGCATCTGCCAATCCAGGAAGATGAGGCTAACAAAGTAAATACACAACAGTAAAAAGAAACCTACAAGGAGGTTCTACAGCTAAATGTCTATTTCAGTCAAAATACAGCAATTATAAAATATGTAAATCATAGATGGGCTAAAGAAAACCTTGAGGGAAAGCTCTGAAGTGAACTCGATAAAAAATGCGTATCTTTACAAATAAATGAAATTTTGGACGTTAAAAAATCTGAAACTAGCTAAGGTTTCTATATGCTACAGGCCACTTGACTTCAGACAAAAAAAATTGCATCATTTAATAAATATGGAAATCCCATTCAAATCAAGAGTTGTGTTTCGTTTCCCTATTTTCTGTTAAAATGATGAATCCCCAGGAATTGCAACATTTTCTGAAATTTCAGATTTTATAACAGTAGAGAATATAAAAATGAGAAACTATGTAACTTTTATTTCCACTAGCCTGCTCTTTGGTTATTTATACATATTTAGCTTCAATTAATCATGGCCATAATTACAGGGTAACTTCGATATTAATTTTTTCTTTAAAAACCCTCCTGCGTGGATTATATGGAATATTCCCCTTAGCCAGAAGAAACAACCTGTCTGAATTTATTCGATCTACCTGCAGAATTTTCCATATTGTAAAGCTCATGCCTTCATAAACAAATAATTTTAATGCAAGAATCCAGGATAATTACTTACCTAAGTTGTGTCGCTTTGCCTTTGCGTGCTCGTGAATATGTTTCTTTGTAAAACAGCCAAAGAAGACACAGTACAGGCAAGAATGAAGTCTGTTCAGATGGGCACCGCACATATGACAGATGCACGACTTTGCCTAAAATATAAACAAGATGTTTATTAAAAGCAGCAAACATTGCATCATTTTTTCAATCTACAACCGGGCTTTAATTCGAACGCTAAGCTTAGATATTATTTCTATTTTTTAATACTAAAACAAAACCAGACGGGATTGTGAATTCAATTCCATTCGAAAAATGTTGGGTCAAGAACTTGGTATGTTTAGGTAGGGAGAAGGGCTGTCCCTCAACTGCCATACAGTCTTTTGTATCCTGACTGTCTGCTATGACATAGCTATTTTGTAGTCCTTCTGCTTCCAGTGCCACCATTTATTTGGGGGGGGGGGAAGGGGGACAACGCAATGGCAGCCTTCCTCTTAATGCTGGTTTGTGAGAGAGATAAGGCAACTCATATCCTGAGCATTTATTTACTAATAAACTGAGGATGATGATGATAAAGAAAAAAATCTGCAGTATCACATTCTAGCTTTGACTTATGTGGCCCAAAGAAAAACAACTCCCACTCCCTTTTTCAGGCGCTTCAAGCAAAAGTAGAAAGTACTGTACAAAACCTTTTAAAAAAAATATAAGGGAAAGTAAAACTTCCTTTTAACTTAATGCAGCCATAGGCATGCACAACCACACATATAGACGGATGAAGTAGGGATAACAGCTTGAAGATCATAAACAGTGTCTTAAACATCAATGCCCCCTAAAATTCCAGAAGCAGAGATTCCCAATAGGTGGGAACAAGGATAAGAGAGCATAACGTGAAAGAAAAATTATATTAATAATAAATAAAACTATAATAAACTATAGTAAAACGGTATTCCCCGAAAATAAGACCCTGTCTAATATTTTTTTGAACCCTGAAATAAGCACTTGGCCTTATTGCGATGCGCTCAAAAGCCTCATTGGGCTTATTATCAGGGGATGTCTTATTTTGGGGGGGAACAGGGTATTAGCTGCAACTCTTCTTCTAGGGAATAATTTACCTTCAAATCAGATTAGTTTCCATCCTATTGCTTTTTTTCCTTCTTCCTTTCAATTATGTCCAATTCTCAGAAAGCGCGAGAGAAAGTGACTGGCCCAAGATCAGTTTGGCCCAGCTGGATATGCGCCTAAGACAGGACTAGAATTCCCACCCTTCCAGTTCCTAAACTGATGCCTTAACCACTACACCAAACTAGGAAGCCGATAAAAACTTGGCCTTTAAACAAAAACCCTGAGAGAGGGATTTGGCATTTACTATTCATCAGCTGCCAGAGTTTTATTTGTAATTGTACTTGCTATTGTAAGTTGTGTTTCTTTTTTGTGATATTGTTTTGTTGTTTTAATCTTCTTACCGAAAGAAAGGAATGTAAGCCACTCGGAGTCCCTCTGGACTGGAGCAGCATATAAGCCACAGTAAATTAAAAAGCTTATTGAAAATATCAGGACTTTACCATCCTAATATTGTTATTAAGTCGCAATTTTATACAAAAAGATAATTAGATAAATGTTTGTGATAAGTTCTTATAAAATGTTACCTAGGAGTTTTAAAATGTAGAACAGTTTCCATTTCTGAAATTTAGCAGTGCCTCTTCTCACAAAACTATGGTTTTATAGGAAATGTTTTTAGCCTGCAGTGCAGCACTAAATTGAGAACATTCCTCTTAGTAAATACCAACACTGTTCAGTGGTTTAACCCACTCACATGAAGGAATATACTTATGAAGGCTGCTTTGGAGGCGTCTATGTACAGTACCATCATTAGTTGTCTTACTATAATAAGAAATCAGTCACTGTCTCAAATATCACTACCACAACTTGGTGTCCACAAGGTAAGTTAGAACCACAAGTTCCAGAATTTCTAGGCACAAAATTCTGAGAGTTATATTCTCAATTTATCAGGAGGATACCTATTTGGAGAAAAGGGTGCTACATCATTCTACTGGGAAGCCTTAAATTATGATCACATAAACTAGGGGTAGGGAGCTGTAGATGCATATGAATTCAGCAGTTCACTTAACGAGAAATTATATCAACATCTTTGTTCTGTACAAAACAGAAATGAGAAATAGATGAGCCTAGGCACTTATCTGAAAATCTGCTTTATTTGCCAAGATTCAAGATTATCTTAAAAGCGTTTTGATTCATACTGAATTTCAGTTCTACTGCAGTAAGCTATAGTAGAAATACAACATTGTGTATTATAAAAGCAACAATGATACAAAAAAAAAAAAAAAGCCAGAGTTCACAATTCCTAGCACTTATTCCTAAAATATCTTATCAATTAAAATTTAGACAAAGAATTTGGGGAGGAAAGTGAAGACACTTTTGTTTTATATACTCACTTTCATTATCACATACATACCAGATTTGCCCCAGAGAATCAAGCAATACAGATAAAGCCTCAACTTACAACAGTTCAATTAGTGACCGTTCAAAGTTACAACGGCACTGAAAAAAGTGACTTACGGTCATTGTTCACACTTACGACTGTTACAGCATTCCCATGGTGCCGTGATCCAAATTCAGACGCTTGGCAACTGACTTGTATTTATGACGGTCCCAGTGTTCTGGGGTCACGTGATCTTTTGTGACCTTCTGACGAGCAAAGTCAATGGGGAAGCCAGATTCACTTAACAACCATGTTATACTAACTTAACAACTGTGGTGATTCATTTAACAACTGTGGCAAGAAAGGCCGTAAAATGGGGGGGGGAGAGAGAATCACTTTACAGCTGTCTTGCTTAGCAACAGAAATGTTGGGCTCAATTGTGGTTGTAAGTCGAGGACTACCTCTATCTATAATAGGAGGTTACATTACACTTCCCAATTTTTTTCTCAATGGTGAAAAAAATGACCCATTAGCCACACCCAATTGCAGGAGGAGCCCCAGCTAAGACACGTTAGGCTGGGCATGATGTACTAACATGGCTGCAGATTTAAATAAGGCTGAAAAGGCTGCCTTGCCTGCCTGTTATTTTTGAAAGGATATGCTCTGCAAACCACGAGGCAGAAAAAGAGTTCGGGCTGCAGGTCCTGCTGCTTTCAGAACCATGTTTAATGTACACATATTGTAGGCTGACTTTATCCTGCAATGCATCACTGCAGTAGCCAATTTTCATATGGGGAGACGATGACTTGCAATAGCCAGTGGTATGTTCTAAAACAGATTATAAAAATTGATGACTTCATCATTTCTCTGTGTCAGCAAGTCATGACAGTGTTTTAAAATATTCTATTAACCCCAACCCTAACACTATTAAGGAATGTACCAATAGCATCCTCACATACACATGACTTGATTAGTAACGCAGCAGACAAAGTAAGCAGCCTTACTTACCTAACCACTGAGCGGGATGTTCACTTAATGCTGCCCATATTGCTAAAATGTTATTTACAAGATAAGATCACACTGCAGGAAAATAGTACTTTTCCTAGGATTTGGGGAGGGGTGGAACAGAAAGCTATGCTTTTAGGAGCCTGCCTATTACTTCAGGTTGCATCCTATCACTTAAATGAAATGTAGATCAAACCTTTAGAAATTTACTGCATGTTTTTCAAGCAAGCGAGCAAACTCTTCAACTCTGATTCATTTAAACACTGCAAACTCTCTGCAGGAAATGTAAATTTAATTAGCCCACATCAAAGTCAGTGCAGTGCTACTAGTGAAAATGATAACTGGAATGCAGAACTGATATGAAATGATTTACTTGGGTAGCCCAAAAGAGCAAAAGAAAAAAAGAAAAAAGGTTACTTCATATTAGAAATTTATTTTTTTTTAAAAAAAAGGAAGCATGCATTTACATTGGATTAAGGCTTATTGGAGGCTTTCTACTGCATCATGCTGCCCTCAATTACTTGAATTATCCCATTCTGACAACCTATAAAACTAACTTTAAAAACACAAAAAGGAAACAGCAATAAATCCAAAATCTCAGTTCTTAAAACTCCGTGAGGCAAGCTTCCACTCGTTGTTTTATTACAGACTTGGGCAACATGTAACCCTACAAACGATTAGGTTCATGCATTAAGGAACTGCTTTTCAATAATATAGCAGCACAGTCATGATATATGGTATGGATGAGTGATGTTGATCTATCAGGTTGTTATCTCTGGATAAGAGATATATGCTACAGGAAATAAGATCCAACCACTGCAATTGACATAATGAAGATTAAATATGTTATACTGTACTTAGCATTATAGCGGCATTAGTTCAAATTCTGTCTTCTTTTTAACATTACTAAATATTATAATTCGTGTGAAAGAAGGAATTAAAAAGAGCCATTGGTTACCAGTTTGAACTTTTACTACAATGGACACACACACAAACACAACTGGACTTAGCTATACTACATAGAGCTTCTCTGTACATAGGGTGTAAACAATTGCTACAAGTCTGTCAGCTCTACAATATGTTCATATAATTACAAATGATGTAACAAACTGTAATGAAACGTGAAGTAGTAATTCTAAAGCTTATTCTTAAGGATTTATATTTAGCCTCCTCAAACTCTCTAGAGCTGTGACTTTGATAACTACTGTATGTCCTCTGACAAAACTTTAAAAATTTCTAATGTAAATGGGCATTTAGGAAACCAGCTACAATACTTTGCGTTCATTAGCAACACAAAGGGGGGAAAAACCTGAGGTAGTACTATTTTAGGCACATCCACTCAGACTGTTCTGCATCTAAGGATGGCCAATTTCTATATTTTCAGAATGAAGTCAGTAACATGTAACAGTAGTTCTGGAGCACATAAATTTCACCCCTGCCAGCCCAGATCCCAATGCATCAAGCCTACAGGAGAAAGATAAAGTGTGAGAATAGGATACAAAAGTACCTCTTTGAAAATTACTTCTTTCTTCTTAAGCTGACTACAGAAAAATGTTGTGTCAGAGGAAGTAGAACATCAGATAGGACCATTCTGCCAGCATTAACTAGCCCCCATACCTTGAATTTGTTACCTTGTTTGTGTTTTTGGGTTCCAAGTGGTTTGCTGGGTTCAGGAAAAAGTTTTAAAGCAGGAATGGACCTCCTGCTGGG